GAGCTATTGCACAGGAACCTTTGCCCAGGGCTCTCCTAGAAGTACTTTGCAGACTGATGAGGCAGAGGTCACCGGGGCTGTGGTCATGGTTTGTCTGCTCCTTCCTCACCTTCCTGCAAGTAATTCTCCGGCCATGGCTGTTGTGCATGTTAAAGGTCAGGTTTAAAGGCCCTGTCAGGTCTCAGGCTGTGAAGGACAAGTCCTGGGCTCCTGTCGGCCTGGGGCCGGCAGCTCTGCTCCTTAAAATAAGAAGTGGCGAGCAAAACCCAGAACAGGCATTTAAATTATCCTGCGATGGTAGAACTTATGGCCACAAGAGGTTATAAGTGCTAGAGGAGAAGAAAAAAAAGCTAGATAGGCACACAACACTGCTCAGGGTGAAAAAATCACTCTCTGGACACTGCATTCCCTCAGCCCCAAGCGCTCTCGCTCCTGTGCATGGTGTGGTGCCAGGGCAGGAGAGCAGGCTCCTGGGTTTGCTCATCGATTCCCTGCCCTTTGGACAAGGCTCTCAATGTTTTCCATGCCTTTGTTTTTTACCGTGCGCAACCCAGGATGAACACCTCTCTCTCCAGGGTAATTAATGAACTGCAAAACACTTTGATGTCTTCAGAGGGAAAATGCTGGCCAACGGAGGCTGCGGTTGCTGCAGGAGGAAGACGTAAGCCCCGTCCAGGCTGGGACATAGCTGGGACCTTAGTCTAGCAAGGCTCCAGGCAGGTTGTTGAATGCCGCTTGGGTGAAACTTTCTGTGGGTCTAGGACCTTAATCAGCACTTAAACGATATGCAAACACCCTGGAAGAGATAAGCACACACATGTGAAACCCTGTGGGCAAGCTGTCGTCGAAGGAAAACGAGTGCAGAGAGAGAGCAGCGCTGGAGAGGGCGGCTGCGGTCCTTGGCATGGTGTGTGTTCCCCGTGATACAGGCTGGCCCTCTCGTGCTAAGTGAGTGCTACTGGCTCAGTCCCGTCCCACAGCCCAGATACGCTTTGGGGGCTCTTCAAAGGGATAAAGATGTATTTTTAACTTCAGGCAGCTGCCCTTTTTTGTGCGGTACTTTTTTCTTCTTGTAGCTCTGGAAGTGGCAGGTTGTTTTCAAGCCCCTCTGTTTCTCAGCTGTCTCAGCAGAGGTGCCTAGAGGTCTCAAACCAGGTTCCCAAAAATTTCAGCGCTGGAAATGGGTAGCCGCTTTTGAAACTGTTGGCGAGACTGTGCAGCTCCCTACAGATGTTAGCTGATGGCCATTTGAACATGCTTTGTCCTCTGCCAAGTCCTCGCCCCATTGAAGCCAATGGGATTTTTCCTTGAAAAAGGCCATAAAGAAATCATTTTCTTGGCATGGAGAGAGGTGTTTCATGGGCTCCACATCAGTGTTCAGGAGAACTTCAGCTATCTGCTTTGATTCCTGCCACACTTGTCCCACCCTGCACACAGTGCTCTACCTTTTGATCCAAATAGCACAGGAGATGTTTTCCACATGCCATAGGAAAATGGAAGAACTATAAAACTTAATTGTTTTGGAGTTTGGCACCGCTCTGTTCACAGATATATTTAGCATGAATTGAAATTGGTCAGCAAAAGGGCGTTTGCCAGGATGACAAACGGATTAGTGTTGTATATCTGAGGCAATTGCATACCTGCCCATCCCATGCTGGTAGGGTTGATGGGTGGCTTCATTGGTTCATGGATAGTCATAAGCAAGCTCATACAATTTAATTCTTTTGGGCAGTGTTAAAAAGCTCTGTCTGGCTGTAAAAGGTGTTGTTTGGCTCATGGCGTACTCTGTGTTCTCCCAACTCGAGGCTTGGTGCCTCCAATCTTGTCATTGCTGCCTGGCCCATTTGCTCTTTGAAATGTGGTCCATCACACCTGATGCTCAGCCTCCTCCTGCTCATGCAGCTCATCTCTGAAGGGAATGCTGGTACTTTGAACATGGGCCCAACTTATTCTGTCCTGTCTCCTTTCCCCAGGGATGGAGCCATCCCTGTAAGCCCCCATCAGGAGAGCCTAAGAGCAGCACCGGGTTTGGGAGAGAAAAAGCTGTGATGGGGCTCTGGCAGCAGCCCCATGTGGATTGATCCAGCTCAGCAGCAGGGTGAGGGTACGGCTGCCTTGGAGAGGAGAGCTTGCCACTGATAGCAGCTAGACCTTCCTGGCCTCTGCTCCAGCCTTGCTCCTGTGATGGTACCCGGGGAGCCAAGACCAATCTCTCCTGCCCCTGGGTGTGGTCATGCACATGGGCTTGCACACTCTGCGCCCATCGGTGGTTTTCTTTGGGCTGACATTTGTTAGCATTGGAAAGTGAGAAAAATGAGCGAAAATATTATCAGAAGCAGGTTTTGTGAATGAATCAGCCGACAAGAGGCTTACCAGCTCGCCTTCATTTACTAGCGCAGTGCTTATTTGGGCAGATGTCTATATATTTTAGTTGGAGGCAGGAGGGAGTGAGAATCGATGGGGGAAGACACCGCTTCCAGTTCGCTGCTTTTCTGTCAGTTTGTACCATTGGTTTTCTGAATGAAGCAGGGGACTGCAAAGTGTCTTGAGATGCGGCCTTGCTGCTGTACTTGTTCTTCTGCTGTTGACAGCTCGGTGGGACACCAAGGAGAGGAACACAAAAGACTGTCTAAAGGCTAAAACCTTCCTAAGCAGCTCATTGAGGATCAGAGCCTGGCCAGCCTTGCCCGTCTCTTGCACGGTGCTTTTTCATTTGATCCTGTCTGAAGGGCGGCCTCATGGCCTTCTCTCTTCTCACTATGTGTTTCTAATTAACGGGGAGACTGGTGTATAAACAGAAGATTCCTGCTCAAAATATTCCTTGTCCGGCTCCTAGGATGACAGCCAGACAGCAATCGCCAGGCAGCAGCCCAGACTTTGAGCTTGCCCATCTGGCTATCAAACCTGGTCCCAGTTCTCATCTGGAACCAGTATTGAGGAAAGTAATGGACTTTGCCAGATTGGTTTTGCCCCGTGTTTGCTTTTCAGTTGCTACCTAAGCAGCTAAAAACCTGCAGACCAAATGCATTTAGTATTTCTGGGAAGTGGGATGATCCCAGTATTGGGAGTTCTGAGGCCAAAATGGTGAGGAAGTTCAAAAGTATATTGGACAAATCCATTGAGGGATGGGCCTGTCAGTGGGTTTTAAATCCTCTGGGTCAGATGTGGTCTCCAGCCATGACGGTGGTTTTACTGCTGGTCTGCAGTACAAATTGGGAATGCTCCTTCTGAGGTGTGTCCCCAAGCAGCTACTGCTGGTCTCTTGTGGATGGCATGCTGGGCTGGGGTGGCTCTTTGATCCTGCTCACTTGGGCTGTTCTCTTGCCATCAGTCTGCAGACATTTGCTGAGGAAGTTCAGACAAAACTCTTCTTGCAGTTTCCCTGTTGAGCCTGTGGCTGTCACACCTGAAAAGAGCTTGGAAAGCTGTGGCAGAAATAAAACACTTGCTATTATGATTTTTCACTCTCTGTCATGACAGTAGAGCTATGCTTTGACAAAACATCACGATGCAGCTTCTGAAAAGAGGGAAATGTTAAAATCTGTAAATGCTCTGTGTGTTTGGTCTTCCAAGAAGCAGGAGAGATACATAAATTAAGCATTGTTGCATGAGCTCAAGCATCGCTTGCCCTTTGTTGTGCACAGTTTGATGTGATTTCTTTACTTCTATATAAGTGCTTGAGTTCTGGAGGGCTGGAAAGCGGAAATTGGAGGTGCTGGAGAGAGTGCTGATGTTGGGAGTCTGGGTGCTACAGTTCCTCCTTAGCATGTGTTAAAAGACATTTCATGTTTGTCACCCCTGTGACAGGACCAGAATGGCCTGGTCTGTTACTGGTGTGGGGCCTGTGGAGATGCTGAGGAACTCCTTTATACAGAGACATACTTAGACTGGGTTATTGTGGTGAGAGGTGATGTGTGTGCGTGGGTTGAATCATAATGTGGACTGGAAAGGACCTCTGGAGGTCTTGGTCCAAGCCCCTGCTTAAAGCATGGATAGCTTCAGTGTTAGATCCAGCTACAGTTAGATGTGCTTGCTCAGCCAGATCAGACCAGGCACCAAGGAGGGGTCAGCTGTTACCTTCTGGGCTTCTGGAGCAAGCAGGAGGAGCTGAAATCTGTCCTCATTGCCGCCGTGAAGTCCAAGGGGACTGGAGTCTGTAGCATTGCAATCATCGTGTCCTACTTCGGCAAGGCTTGCTCTCAGAAATGGCACCCAGTGAACTGGGAAAAAGCACAAAGCAGAGAGTGGAGGAGGTGGAAAAAGTCCAGTATTTATCCCCAGATTTCTGCTAACTGATTTTGAAATGGCTGAAGTAGCTGGGGGTCTTGTGGCTTGCAGCAGTGGCAGGGTTGGGCCCAGGACACGTGGGGCTGTTCCACGGTCAGCAGAAGTGGCCAAATGTGGAAGAAGGTAGAAGATAAATGAGTAATGCACTGTATGACAAACGATGTGAAAGACGATACAGCAAGGACGATCACTGGAATGGCAGGATCTCTGAGGGAAATTAGGGTGGCCATAAAACAGAGGCAAGGCATTTTTGAAAGCAGACCTGAGAATTTATTTTAGCACATTAATATTGAGTAAGTATTCCTGGAGATACTCTGGGGGATGATAGATGGACTCAAGGTATTGTTACTAATCACTGTGGTTTTAAGTTTTGGAGCCGAAGTACACTTGGCATCCTTAACCCAACTGGACTTCTGATGGGAAAATTACATTCTTCGGGAAGTAATTTAGAAGGTCAAAGAAAAACCAGAAAGAACTTCTCCAGCAGTGATTTCCCCTGCTCTCTAAACTGTCTTTTAGTGTGGTAATAACTCCAGAATGAAAGGATCTATTCTCACCTTCCAGATGAAAGGGCTAATGCAATTTAAAATTTTTGCATGCAAAGATTTTTATGGCTTGGTAACTGGCCATGCTTGAAAGCGATCCAGGATGGGATGAACACGTGAGGGAGTGCCTGGCTGAGCTTGACCCTTTCCTTGTCTGCCCTGTCTCCTGCAGATAATGGCGATGACCGGTCTGAGAGCATCCTTGCTGAGAACCATGTGGATGGCACCATGGGGATCCTGAGCGGAGCCGGTGGGAGGAAGCCCGTGAAGACAGGCATGAAGGAGCTGGCGGTTATGATGGAGAAGGTGAACGAGCAGCAGCGGCAGATGGGCAAAGTTGGCAAGGTCCATCCCAACCACGAGGACTCGAAGAAGTCGCGGCTGTCGACGGGCAGGGTGAGAGGGCAGGGGTTCGTGGGGAGCTAGGGGAGGCAGCTATGGGCTTGCTGGGGAAATGATGAATGCAAAAGCCTTAGTGTCATTTGTAACAAACCGTCTTAAAAAGAAAAAAAAAAGAAAAGAAAGGAGGGGAGAGGGGGGAGAGAATAAAAAGGAAAAGCAAACGTTTGTTTTGGCCTGAAGTTGAGGCTGAACACGCCATCTGATGAACTTTGATGTGCTGGCAAGGAGGTGTTATTTTTGTTGCAGCTTCACCTCCTGACAGCAGAGCGGGAGAAGGGGGGTCCTGCTGGCTCAACACCTACCTCCACAGGGGTGCGAGCGTGCCCTTTGCCCGTGGACCAGCTTTCTCACACCCTTTTTCCCTAAGCAAGTGCCAGGGATGGCCCAAAGGGATTTGGGAGGTCGTAGGGTGTCTGCCTGCTGCAGGACAGCCCCAGTCCATCTTAGGGGGGGGGCCCTAGAGCCCCCCACGATGGGCTGTGGGGCTGTCACATAGCAGGGGGAGTGCCTGGAGTTCTCCCTGTCCCCTCCTTCGCTGTCACTCTCTCTACCCTCCAGTCCTTGGCCGTGGTTTCCCTCTAGTGGGCACCTTGGTCAAGGCAACTAGATGGGATGGGGATGGAGAACCACCCCAAGAGGTCCATCATACGTATCTCTATAAACAGATAGGGCAATTGTATCTGGGGAGCACAGGGACAGAAGGGTCTTTAAAAGAGCCCTCAGCCCCCCACAAAGAACAGGCAAAGCAGAGGTTCAAAATGATGTGCAGACCCCATCAACTTAGAGAGCTCCCACTTTGGAAAAACACCCCAACAAATCTGCAATTATAAAAGCAGAGAGGTGTGGAGTCACTCTGGCTCATGTCAGGTGTAATTAAACCAGGCTGCCTTGGCCAGAAGCCCTGACTTGGGGCTGCTGTGGGGCAAGAGGGATGCCTCCAGAGGCTGGCTTCGCTGAGTGCTCTCGTTCCCGGGGCTTCCCCTCCACTCCCATGGGGTCTCACATGCTTTGAGTTGCACTTCTGGGCCAAAACTGCATCACAGGTGTGGGACCTGGACTATGCCCCTGGAAACCTCCCTGGTCTGTCTGGGTTAGTCCTGCTTCACATCACTTGTCACCACCAGCGGGATGCATGGGAGCATCTCTGAGGTGCCTCCTCTTCCTCCGTGCTTCCAGGGCCAGTGACCTGGTGTCACGTTGGCTCTCGGCCACGTGAGGCACATGGGAGAGATGTGCACATCTCCCCACCTCTGCATGTGCAGACGTGCCTCTGGGTGCCTGCAGGTGCAGTCAGCAGCAGGCCCCAGTGGCAAACCTGTGTCCTGAGGAGGTGCACGCAGGTGTTCATTCTTACTGGTGTTTCTCTTTGTCCAAAGTGTTGATACTCTGAATCGTCCCGCATTGCCCTGATGGCTTTGTTTGTTTTCTGCTTTCTTGGCTCTTTCCAGACCCCTTGTCAGCAGGAGCTGGATCAGGTCCTGGAACGCATCTCCACGATGCGGCTGCCGGATGAGCGAGGTCCCCTGGAGCACCTCTACTCCCTCCACATCCCCAACTGCGACAAGCATGGCTTGTACAATCTCAAACAGGCAAGTGGGGAGACCCACCCGGAGCCCCAGGGCTGGCTGCGCTCCCAGCAGTGACCCTCAGCTTATCACACATCCCCTCATGTGCAGCCAAGGGGGACACGCAGCAGCTCAGGGCTGGGCTGATGTCACACACACGGTGTGAGGTGTGGGGTAAATGGCAAATATCACACAGGGTGTGGAGAGGTTTAGTAACACCCAGGTGCATTTGCAGCTGTGGGCTAGCAAGTGGAGATGTGAGACCCACATCCACACGTGGCTGCGGGCAGCCCAGGGATGGAGAATCTGTTTAGTTCAGAGCCCCTTCTTCCCCCCGAGAGCTGCTTATCTCTCCAGGTCTATTTTCATGTGCTTTGAGCCAAGTCTTGTCCTGGCTGGGCCCCACTTCAGGGGAAAAGCAAAGAGAGGCTGAATGCTGGCCAGTCCTGCAGACAAAGCAGAAATCACTTCTCCTGGGGCCAGGAAGGTGCACTTTACTGGTTTTCCTCCACAAATTGAGGCTGGTCCCACAGCTCCAGGAGAGATTCCTTCCAGGCAAGGTCGAGGCTGGGGTACAGCATGCTTCTGAAAGTATTTATGGGACCCAAAAGGATTCAAATGACTTAATGTGTGTCTGAATTTTGACTCCTTGGCTTCATTTATGCAAAACCAGCAGGTGTCAGCAGCTGAGGCATGGAGAAAAAAATGCCAGGAAAAACCTCTTGGGCAGCAAACCACAAGCTTTTCCAAGGGTTTCTAGCAGCCATGTGTGAATAGTACCAGGATATGAGCCCCCTTACAGCTATGTGTAACTAAGCCCTTGGAGGGGACCCCAGAAAACCTGCTGTTTTCATGGCTAAGCCTTTTTCTCAGGCCTACTTCTACCCCTTGATCCGGAGCATTAAAAAACCAAAAAAGCATTTTAAAAAAGTAGGATGCTCTGAGATAATTTCCATCTATCCATTTTCTCCTCCCTGTCCTGACTGGACCCTCAACCTCTGCCTCCCCATGAAGAGCCCCAGGGCCTGTCTGCGTCCTCCAGCATGGGCATGTGTAGGAGGGGTGCATGGAGCAGAACTGGTAAATTCCCTGTAAGGAGATGAGCTGTGTCTGGGGACTGAGCCTGGGCAATGCAGTGATGCATTGTGTGCTGCAGAAACCAAGGCAGTCTCTGCTGCTCCTTGTGCCTGGGAAAAAAAGCCAGCCTGCACTGAAGGGTGCACTGGTCACTGGTGCAGAAAATAGAGAGGGGACAAAAATTGCTCTCCCTTCTCCCCACTGCCCTGCCCTGGCTAAGGGCAAACGAGGCAAATGTGAAATGACACTCATTTCCTTCCTTCCAGGTTTCCAGAGCTGAGCATCAGCTCCTTTTCATTTTCTGGAAATGGGATGCCAATAAAAGCATTCCCAGTTGCTCCCACCTCCCGTGGGCCAGCCCTTGGGTGGCGGGTGTATCCAGGCCCTCTCCTTCTGAGTAGATCTCACATTTAGAATTATACAATTCCCTAGGCTGATAGGGACTTTTCAGATCATGGAGTCCAACCATCAGCCTAACACTGACAAAAAACATCACTAAACCATGTCGCGAAGAACCACATCTACCCATCTTTTAAATACCTTCAGGGTATTTACCTATATATACCTTCAGGGACGATGATTCCACCACTTCCTTGGGCAGCCTGTTCCAGTGCTTGATAACCCTTTAGGTGTAGGAATTTTTCCCAATATTCAATCTAAACTTTGTTTAGCCTAGTTTGCAAGCGAAATGAAGCTCATGTAGCCCCTCTGTCAGTCTGCTTCACTTCTCTTCCCCCAAGGATTTTTGACTCTGTGGGTGCTTTCATCCAAAGATGATAGAGGGTGATGCATCTCAGGCACAGCTGTCATTGTGGTTCATTCAAATCAGCTTTTTGATTCCTGGCACAGCGTCTGGGGGAAGAGGTCCAGCCCTCAGCCTGGACCACGGGAGCAGTGATGCTGGTGCAGGACAGACTCTGTGGTGTCTGAGTGCAGCATCCCTGAATCTGACCTAAATCCAAACTAGTGCCAAAGTGCTGGAGAAACCCCAGCTCTGCCTGTGTTCTGGCTTTGGGCTGGTGGGACTGGGGAAGGGGGTTTGGTCCCTTTGTTTCTTCAGCTGATGCCTGCCCTGTCCCTCTCTATGCAGTGCAAGATGTCGGTGAACGGGCAGCGTGGCGAGTGCTGGTGCGTGGACCCCATCCACGGGAAGGTGATCCAGGGCGCACCCACCATCCGCGGGGACCCCGAGTGCCACCTCTTCTACACAGCCCACGAGCAGGAGGACCGGGGAGCACATGCCCTGCGGAGCCAGTAGACGGACGTGATCCTGCTTGCTGGAGGTGGCTCACCGTGGCCCCAGTGCTGGATTTTACATGGGTTTCAGCGTGTCTCTTTAGGCTCTGGAAGAGACTGGGGTTGGGTCCTGCGTGCTGCCTTCCTTCCCCTGCTGCCTGGCTCCTGGGGAGGGGAGGGATAACGGGAGGAG